ATAAAATAATAAAGGAAATATGAATTCGGCCTGTTAAAATTTTTTTAATTGTAAATATGATTGAGATACATGGACAAATATTATAAATAAGATAGATTTCTTGATTGTTATAAGATTTTTACTAAGCTTGATGCTTAGTGCAGTTCATGCGCAGTTTCCCTAAAAATTAAATTCGGTCTTCTTGCAATTTTGAAGTGAATCTAAAGATACAGATTAGAAAAAAAGAATTAGGATAAAGAAATGAAAATTATAGACTGCTATCGAGATTAACAAACAGTCTGCCATCAAGGATGTTTTACGTTGAAAGTAAAATGATGGGAAAACAGTAACTAACCATTCGGAAGCAGTATCCAGTACCTAAATAAGAACTAATTGATAACTAATTAATAATAATTAAAAGAAATAGTACGAGTAATGGCATAATATAATTAATAAATAACTATCACTAGTTAGTAACATAACAATTAATAACATACAGTAATTTATTTTTTATGCTAATATTAAATAAATAATTAAAATAATTATTTAATAATAATTAAAATAATTATGTATTTTTAGGCATAGTTATTTGTGTTAATAATTATGTATAGTTTAAAAGAATATTTAAAGTACCTTTTCGGGGGGATTTGAGAGGATACCATGAACACAAAAAAAATTGTTTTTTTTTTGACCATTTACAACAGGTATAGTTTAAGATCATGATCACAAAAATTCCTTTTTTAAAACCATTTACAACTATCATGGCTTCAAATCCGTAAAAAAAGAAATTTAACTGGAAATTGAAGCAAGGCTCTTAATTAGGTAACGGGCATTGGAATTAGGTTGTTGTTGAGTCGTTTTCTCAAATGAAACTTAGAATGTCGTTTAATTAGAGCAGTGGTGGGGAAACTTTTTTTAAGACGGGCCATTTGTAATAACTAGACAATCGTAGCGGGCCAAAGAGTAATGCTTAATCGTTAAAAAATTTATATGTTCTATAAACATATGCATATATTATTACATACACTTATTATTTTAATAGTAAAAAAGCAAAAGGTAAGAAAATTATAAACACAAAATATAAAATGAATTTAGTGTAGTTCTTGATGTTCTTGAGTATTATCACTTTATTTTCTGGTGTCATTACTGGTTGATGGTGCATGAGAAAAATGAAATTGAGACTGTTTCTTCAAAATTTCATCATAGTCCGGTTCCATTTGCGAAGCAGAAATTCTTAAAACTGATGACAGGTGCTCATCTGTAATTCTGTTTCTTAAAGAAGTTTTCCTAAGCTTCATTGTTGAAAAGATTTGTTCGCATATATAAGATGAGCCGAACATTGTCATTATCTTCATTGCATGAGTAATTAGATTTGGGAAATTTTCTGGACTTAAATTTTTATAAAATTCTAGTAATGGTACTGTATGAAAAGTTTATTTCAGGAGAGTATTACAGTTCAGTTCTATTAACTCAAGTTGAAATTTTGCATCAACTTCTTCGTAATTAACATTGAATGGGGTCTCAATTTTTCTAAAGTCCTGAAATCTCCTTTCAAATTCTGAAGATAGTTTTTTCAAATTAATTTCGTATTTTTTAATCTTATTGTTTGATATAGTGAATTTTAAAGATTGTATTCTTGGAAAATGAGAAAAATCAGATTTAGAGATCTGATTAGCAAATAATAATAACTGTAATTTGAAACTTTTCAGGTATTGCCAAATATCGTGAAGAAACTGATTTTTCCCTTGCAATTTGAGATTAAGTATATTCATGTGTACGAGGAGGTCTGTGAAAAAAGCGAAATCAGAAAGCCACGTTTCGTTTTCTAAGACGTCAAATTGATTATAAATGTCTTTATCAAGAAGAAAATTCACAATATCGTCTTTTAAATCCCAAATTCTTTCAAATACTTTTCCAGCACTTAACCAACGAACTTTTGAATAATACAGAGTGTCTGTGAGTTTCGAGCGAAGATGAGTCATCTGTTTAGGTCGGATGGATTTGTCCAGAATACTATTGTGTTTTGAATATCGCCGCAGGTAGTTTTTATGCGGGTCGTCACATTACGAAGTAAGAACGCGTTCAAACATTCTCACGACGGCACTCTTAAACGGGCCGGATTAAACCTTTCCGCGGGCCGGACTTGGCCCGCGGGCCGTAGTTTCCCCATCACTAAATTAGAGTATCTGGTTTTTTCGCCTATCATAAGAGATGGGGAATACTAGATTTTACTGTAATACGCAGCTTTCTAGTGCTGCCATCTATGCGTGAATGAGAATATTGTATTCTAATGGTTCAGGGTCACAAGCTGTGGAGAGCAGGACACTAGAAACTCTTCGTGCGTTGAAGGGAATGGGGAAAATATTGTTGTGTGAACACTGCGACTTATCGGTAATGATATTGATAGATTAGCCCTCTCAGCTATAATGTGTACCCAGCTGTAAGGTACTCAGTGGTAAGGTACCATATAAGGAGAAAGTAGTTAATAAACGGAAATTCTCACAGTTAACATTTTGAATACCTTTTCATTTATGGTTATTTAACAGTTTTGTTTGAATAAGGTAAAATATCAATTAAATAAATATTTATTTTACCATTTTTCCAAGAGATTTCCAACTCTGCACAAATACATTTTTGAAATTTATTTTATTAATCGAGAAAATTTTAAACAAATATAAATCGGAATTGGTGCTGAGTATTTTGACTAAAAAAGGAGCTTCTGAACTAGGAAAAAACTAGTTTCTCAAAAAGACAAATACGATTTCAAAAGTAATAATTATCAATAGAATCCTTTTAGTATATGTATATATGTCAAACATTCACAGTCTGATATGAATATGTATTCAAATAAACGTCATTCTTCTTCATAGATATTCTTCAGAACCTTCTTCAAATCTCCAGAGTCTGATATTTTAAGACTTTATTTTTACATCCTTCGATATTCGAGAACTGTTCTTTAAGTGTGAAGGTGTTTTTGAAATGAATAAATAAAAAAAAAGGTTCAACATTCTTGTTTTCCAAAAACCTTTTTTCCTTTTTTTGGGAAAATCTTTTCTCGACTCGGTCTTTCTCTCTGTTTCCGGAAGGCAGGAAAAAATCGGAAAAGGCGCTGAGTAGAAGATAAATTCCGGCAGCCTAGAGACTGGAGCAGTTTTTTGAGAAAGTCAAAAGAGCAATAAGATGGCGGTTAAAGTTTCGGGGAGGGAGATTCTATCGAGATTCCGAGACCCGATAGGATATTTTGCTATTTCTATTCTCTTTGACAGGAAGTATTAAAATTGAAGATAAAACAGAATCAAAGAAGTTTTGAAATAGTGAAATGTATTTTTAATATTATCTGAAGTCCTTCGTATTATTTATTGTTCTTTCTTCGCCTATGCTTAATATATGGTATTCAATTACAGTAGAGATGCATTCGAATTTTTGGAGAACCTACACTGTAAAAAATTCAGAATAAAACTACTGAAAAAAGTACTGGAAACGTGAGTGTTGCATCCGTAAAATTATTTTGTACAGTAAAGTCCTATATCATAATTTTTACATCAATATTCATTTAAATGCAGTGGTTTAGTAAATATTACTGTAAAAATTATGGCATATCAGATTTTATTTGTTCCGTAAAATTTTACGGTTTAAAGTATTGGCCCCCTGAGTGCCGAATTTTCACAGAGTCCGGCAATAAACGGGACAAATATTTTAAATATAAGTGTTAGAATAAAAATACTGTTAAATTGAAAGTACACTGAAGGAAAAGATATGGTCAAATCTACCAGAGTATGGTAAAACTTACCGTATTCCTGGTTGAATGGGAACACCAAAAAGCATGATAGTTTTTCCGTAACGATTTGGTAATGACTTTTTGGTGAAATTAAGAGCAAAATATGGTTTTTAATACCATGCTGTTACATTATCTGCCTATCATAAGCAAAATCTTGATCTTTTTTTACATACTGGCAAAGTAGCATACTGGCTATTTTTTCATATTCATTGAAGAGGAGGACATTGTTTCTTCCGAACATTTTTTAATTTCTTAAAAAGTGCATAGTCTGCACGCAAATCTAGTGTTATTATTATAATTTAAAAGGATCCAAAATATCCAAACCAAAGTATGTAAGAACTTTGATGAGCCGAAGTTTCTTTCTTGCAAGTATGGTGCAATTTTTTATGAGAGATTTTCACTATGTATTCCTAACCTGAATGCAGGGTGATCTTCTAATCTTCAAATGGAATTTTTAAACTTATGACTTGCATAAAAATCTACAAGCAAGTGATTGCAAACAAGCATTCAGAGCCAGTTCACCTGACTTACACCACATATGATATTTTGAACTCTTAACTATTCTGTCATCTATGCCTCACCAAATTCGAATTTCATTTACAATTTAGATAAAGAAACAAATCATGCATTATTTTCGCTACTTTGCTTCACTTGAATCAGCATTGTTTTCCTTTCATTTAAAAAAAAAATCAGGATGAAATTACGGTATTAAATACCAAGGATTTGAGTGCAATATCTGTCAAATATATTCTATTGTAAAATTCATTTTTACCACAAAATATTATACCATAATCTTTTACCATTTTATACCATAATCATTTTAGTTTGAATGATTCAATGAATCATTCGGCTATGGAAATTACTTCTGTAAAAATTGGGGTATATCAGGCTTTTTTGTATATGACGACAAAAAATAAGGTTATGGTAACTAAATAAAATAAAATGTCTAACTAATAATAATAAAGTATACATCTAATAATAATAAAGTATATACCTAATAATAATATAAAGTACAAAAAATACTAAAATAATAAGGATATCTAATTCAGTCTCATCGAATAGAAAAAAAATTGTTTTTTATCCTTTACTTTTGCATTCTAAAATTAAAGTTTTAATCTTTCGTAATTGGACACCTTTCCCAGAATTATTTTAAATAAGAAGTGTTTGAGGTTTCTCAAATTGTAATTAATATTGTAATTAATTTATTGATTAAATCAAATCATAATTATGCCACTTTACTCACCATTCAAGCTCTTCTTGGAGATACAGGGGCTTCAACTAGTGATCAGCACTGCGACTGTAATTAGAAAAATGTATTATCAGAACTTCTGACTATTATAAATTAATAATGTAAATTTTGTGAAATATAATCAACATGGTCTTATACTCTCAAGCGACAAACATAAATTCAATAAGGTCTGTAAAAATCGTATCTTTCATAATTTACCTTTTTTATTTTTCCAAAGTATTTTTTTTAGAGAATTAGCTTTTTGATATTGTTAATAAGCTCTTTAAATATTATTACGGTACTGAATAAACACATCGTAAAATAACTGAATAATATTTTTTTAAAGTTTTTGAAATGGGATTAAAATTGCATATAAAAATTGCAATGTTGTTTATTAAAAAAATTAAAACTCATATTTATGAAATATTAACACGAAAAATGCGTTTTTTGAAATGGCAATCTTAATTTCTCGTGACATTTATTTATCTCATTATCACCTTTTTATTTTTACGGCTGATGTCTTGATTAAATCTTGACATTTACATAGAAGAAAAACAAATTTGATTAAAAAAGATTTTAAGAACTTATTAATGATTATTTTTCTCATCATTTTGACTACAAATAATCCCTTATTTATGCATTATCTTCCAAGCTCAAAAAGAAAGATTTATTTTTTTAAACTTATATAAATAAATACTATTTCAAGCAATTATCTTAATATCTTTTTTCTACTTTAATGCAAAATGCAGAACATTGTGAGTGTCATTTTTATGCGCATTCAAAAAATCTGATAATGTTTCCTTTATTTCAAGAAGGGGGGAAATATATCTTTTTTCATTCCTCAAGTTTCAATCGAATAATGAGCAGGGTATTTGATAATATGCATATTTAAAAATGCATTCAATTTTTAAAATGCAACATTTCAGCATTTTTAATATTTAAAAAGGATTTAAAAATATTTCGTCAGGAATATTTTTTTAAACATTTTCGTCGCAAAAATTTGTATTTTAAAGCTATTTTTTCCGAATGATTTTTACACCAATAAAAAAATGCTTTAAATGAGTATTATTTTAAGGATATTTAAAGTTTGAGTATTTATATAATTCCATTGTTATCTGACATTTGTTTTGATAACATATAAAATTTTAAGCCTTATCTTCACTGAGTTTGTATTTATTGATGACAATTTTTCGACCAAACGATAGCGTTAGATTTGGTAAATCAAGAGTAATTTCCGTAACAAACCCTTTAATTAACAGTGAATTGGAAAAAAATGAAAGCTTTTACTGGTATTTAAAAGCTTACAACTTAAAAATAAAATGATTTAAATACGTCAACCTTATTTAATCACGATCATCTCGTAGTAATTAGTTTTTTCGTCGACTTCTATTTTAATGTATTTCATAATTCCTAAACATTTCAGAGGCGGACTAAAAACAAAGGACATAAATATTTTAATCTTTTTTTTCATCCCGCTCATAATATAACTAATTGTTTTCATCCATCAATATCTATTTAAACAGGTTAATGACAGTGAACATTTCCGAAACTCACAAAATTGAAATGATTTGAAATTATCAACTTTCTTTAATCACATTATTCTTACATTAATTATTTTTATTAATTAATATCGATTTCCACGTCATTAAATATTGCTGAAAATTTCAGAAAATTAGAAAATTAGTATATTCGAAAATTATTAATCTATTTTTATCACGTTCATCTTATGCATTTAATTTCTTTTTATTGATATTATTTCATCAGATTATATTTCAAAAAATTTCAGATACTCGCAAAACAAAATGACAATAAATTATTATTAAAACATTATAATTAAAACGCGCAGATCATACTGATTGTTTTCATTCATCAATATTTGTTTCGGCAATATTTATTATTACTGAAAATTTCAAAAACTGACAAAAATAAAAACACTACACATTATCAATATTCTTTCATCGCAATCATCTCATCTATTATGTTTTCATTCATTGATATCTATTTCATGAGATTCTAATATTATTAAGAATTTCATAATTAGACACAAAAAAAATAAAAGGCGATAAATATGCTAACGCTTTTTCTTATTACGTTCATAATATACTAATTATTTTCAATAATCAATATCTATTTCAACAGTTTCTAGGCTTACTAAAAATTTTAAAAACTCCCAAAAATAAAATAACTTTAAATGACGCCAGTCTCATACTAATTGCTTCCATTCCTCAATGTCTATTGCAATAGTTTCTAGGTTTCTAAAAATTTTAGAAACTTACAAAAATAAGACATTCAAATCAATCTTACAAAAATAAAATCATTTCATTTGAACCCGTTTCATACTAATTGTTTCCTTTTATCAATATCTATTTCAACAGTTTCTAGGCCTACTAAAAATTTTAAAAACTCCCAAAAATAAAATAACTTTAAATGACGCCAGTCTCATACTAATTGCTTCCATTCCTCAATGTCTATTGCAATAGTTTCTAGGTTTCTAAAAATTTTAGAAACTTGCAAAAATAAGACATTCAAATTAATCTTACAAAAATAAAATCATTTCATTTGAACCCGTTTCATACTAATTGTTTCCTTTCATCAATATCTATTTCAACAGTTTCTAGGCTTACTAAAAATTTTAAAAACTCCCAAAAACAAAATAACTTTAAATGACACCAGTCTCATACTAATTGCTTCCATTCCTCAATGTCTATTGCAATAGTTTCTAGGTTTCTAAAAATTTTAGAAACTTACAAATATAAAACATTTAAATTAATATTACAAATATAAAATAATTTCATTTGACACCCGTTTCATACTAATTGTTTCCTTTCATCAATATCTTTTTCAACAGCTTCAAAGTTTACTAAAAGTTTCAGAAACTCACAAAAATAAGAAAAACGAAAACTTCCCTCTATAAATCACTATCATCTCATACATTTTATTTTCATTCATGGATAACAATTTCACGAAGTTCCTATATCCCCATTTTCTTTAATCTCACACCCAAAATGACTTAAATATAAATTACCAACACCAGGTTCATTTTATTTTAACTGCCTTCATTCAAGGATAACTATTTCAACAGGTTTCAGTTCTAAACTCTCTCAAATTAACATGAGGAAAAGAAATAAAAATAAAAAATACCTATGCTTTAAAATAATCCTTTACAAGAACACAACCTTCATCTTCCATTACCGGACCAATATCGTCCACCCCGTTTATCTCCATTAAATTGACCGTGATTCAAGGTGTTAAACAATGTCACCCTAAAATCTTATCCGTGGATTTGATGGACCCACTATCATTGGTTCTGACAGAGAGAGTAAAGAGCACGTATCCGGCAATCCCGTTTCGTGACGTCAGAGTCCGGTCATCGATCAAAACCGCAGAACGTGCCCCCTCACGGAGTAGGTCCATCACTTAAGCAGAAACCAAGACTGGGCAGCATTTGAAGAATGGGAAATAAATTTGGATTAAAAACAATGCTTGATCCATAGAGATTGAGTATGATATTGAATTTATGTTGCCTACTTGATTGATTTAGGAGATAAATGGTAAATAAAAAAGCAGCTTTCTGTTATTGTATTTTATGGCCTTAATTAACGGTTGCAAATAATTACTTTTTAACTATAAAAGTGCCTTTTTTTTGTTTTTAGTTTTATTTATTCTTTGGATGTTTTTTGTTAATATTTGCAGATTTGCCTTAATAATTTTTTTCACAAACAATTATTTTATTTTTCTATCTCAGACATCTCTCATTTATTACATTTAGCTTTATCTATCTGCTTTTTTCCTTTTTAATGAGAATATGTTTTCTAATCTGATTGTAGAAGTCAGAAAATACAATAAAATATAAAGTATTCAACGGTTTTGAAACTTTTACTCCTCACAATGGGAAAAAAATTATGGTCAAGCCAACCAGAAAATGGTAAAGTTTACCGTATTTCCCTCTTTATGGGAACACTAAATAACTCAGTAATTTTTCCAGAAGCGAGTTGGTAAAATTAGCAATAAAATATGCTTTTGCAATGTGTGTTAAAATTGGGTCAAAATGATAAAATTTCGTACTTTAATCATAATATCCCATAGCATGGCATATAGAAATTTTACTAGAATTTTTTTCCTCGTGTGATTCCACAAGGTGCTTCCTAATAATTTTCCTTAATGTATGTAAATTAAATCCTTAGAAAAGTAAAACATACACTTCTACGTTAGGGATTTTGGATCAATAAACAATTAAATGGAAAAATTAAATAAAAAAAATGAGACAAATTACACAAATCTGTAGAATTACTAACCAACTGTCGAACGAATTACTGTCGAATTACAAAAACTTCAAAACCAGTTTACTGCTTTAGAAAGTTCAGTGGAGTTTCGAATAATCGTCTTTTGATTTCTCACTGTTTATTCTGAAATCAAACAGATTTTCTGTCTTGTTTTTCGCTCAAAATTTCTTACTAGTGATTTCGATGGCATGTTTGTTACTTCTTCAGTTATACAGGATTATATTAATATGTGATTTTTAATATACTTAATTTTTTATTTCTTTTTTGACAAGGCATCTAAAAACCCAGTAAGGGTAGCCATTATGGAACACTCAACATTGCGTTTTGAGAGTTATGCTTAGTGAGTTATTGAAGCATTATTCTCCTTATTTATAACTTACTCTCTTACAATATAATTCTCTTTACGCTAACGAAATGAATTGATACCTTTATCACACTCTCAGTTATATGACTCTTTTTTACGATTCAGATATCATAACGTATTTCGTTAATTTTTAGAATCATTTCGCCAGGAAATCACATGATTTTTGACAAAATGCGAACTCTCAAATGTATGACGAAAATGTTTCTTCAACTCGAAACCTCATTCCACTGTATTGTGGATTAACTGGAATGACCATCCTGTGATGAACTAGATCTTTACTAGAATGAAGACTTTGAGCATGTTTAGAATCTCTGCACTCTTTGTGTTGTCCTACATGGAGCCCACAATAAGGTGGAGAAAAGTTAGATACATTAAGTACTAAAAGTTTTTTTTTTTTTTTTGTTTTTTAGAAAATAACTATCTATAACT